TATGGATATTTACACACACCATTTTTCAGGTATAAGAATGATATGCACTGCCAGTTTTAATCCAGAAAAAAAGTGTGCCCCAAGCATCAAAAGTCTGGGAAACACTGAAACAGAGTTTAACTTCGTGTCTGCAAACACTTCTAAGTAAGCAAGTTGTGACATAATTACTATACTTAGCACCCCCCTCTGAGATAAGAGCTGGGTATTGATATACGTCTCACAGATTCCTTGAAAAATGAACAAGAATGTTGATATCCATGATACACTTCAGGTTCCTGATTTACAACAGATATGCTGTCCTGTATAACACAAAGGAGGTGATACTAGTGATAGTGAGGGTGCTGAATGCACCAATAACTGATCTGTTTTAGATATAAGGAGCAACCCAAACCTTATTATTTTCTTTTGGGGTTTTTTTTAATTCATCATTCATTTTTCCACCTCTGCTGGAACACAGGGCACCAGTCCAGCACTGTCAGGTTTCATAGTTTCGTAGTTGGTAGGGTCGGAAGGGACCTGAGCAGATCATCAAGTCCAACCCCCTGCCATGGGCAGGAAAGAAAGCTGGGGTCAAATGACCCCGGCTTGGTGTCTATCTAGCCTCCTTTTAAAGACCTCCAGCTCCTAGCCGCCCTGACTGGGAAGTAGTGCCTCCTGATATCTATCCTGAATCTACTCTCTAACAACTTATGGCCATTATTTTTTGTTGTTCCCCCAAGCACTACTGGGAGTAGGGACTCTCCCATTGCCTGCTGGTCTTCTTTGGCCAGTTTATAGATGGCCACCAGATCCCCCCTCAGCCTTCTCTTGTGGAGGCTAAACAGGTTCAGGTCTCATAGACTCTCCTCGTAGGGCCTACCCTGCTGCCCCCTGATCATGCAAGTGGCCCTCCTCTGGACTCTCTCCATGTTGTCCACATCCCTCTTGAAGTGTGGCGCCCAGAACTGGATGCAGTACTCCAACTGCAGCCTGACCAATGTCATATAGAGGGGGAGGATCACCTCCTTGGACCTGCTCGTGATGCATCTGTGGATGCATGACAAGGTATGGTTAGCCTTCCTGACTGCATCCCCACGTTGGCAGCCCATGTTCATCTTGGAGTCTATAATGACTCCAAGATCCTTTTCTGCCTCTGTGCTGATGAGAAGGGAGTTCCCCAGCCTG